AAAGGCTATTAGGCCTAGTCTGGAGCCTTGCGGAGCAAAGAAAAACACGTCTGCTAAGCTGAGAACTAAGACAAAAAACTGGGGAAGGCACGCCCAGAGGGAGGCGTGGCAAGAGTTTTTTCTTGTCTTAGTTTCTGCTAAGCAGGATTGCATCAATAACCCATCCTGTGGACTCTACACCACCATCTGCTGGAGAAATTTGCCTTCACCGTAATCCTCCAGTTCAGGGCTTTTCAACCTTTTCACCCATTGTACCACTTTTAAGATATGGCAACATCCGAGTACCACCAGTCGCCTAGCAAGGTGTCAAAACCTTGATGACCTCCCCCCCAAAAAGGAAAAAAGTGATAAAGTACAGGTAGTCCTCGACTTACAACAGTTCGCTTAGTGACTGTTCAAAGTTACAATGGCACTGAAAAAAGTGCCCCCCCAAGCCACAGCCGAGCAAGACACCTGCCTGCCCACCCGGCGGCGCTCTTCCTCCTGTCCGAGGTTTTCATTGTTGTGAGCATTTCTGTTGAGGATTGGCAGTGGGGGTGGGGTGGGAGGTGTTTGGTTTTTATTCCCCCCGTCTGCTGGGTGGTTGCAGCAGGTTTTGGTCACTTCACATGACCCTGGGACACTGTGACCGTCATAAATATGAATCGGTTGCCAAGCATCTGAATGTAAATCACAAGACCCTGGAGATGCTGCAACATTCCAGCTGATCGGTGCTTCTTTAGGGCTCAGCGGAAGCACCAGGATCAGCACCGAGCTCCAGCTGGAGCCTGGCGCTGATCCTGGCGCTTCTGCTGAGCCCTGACAGCCCTGCAGCTCCAGCCATCTCTCGCTCAGGCTTGTGCGGTGCTGCCACCGGTTCAGCTCATTCCCCTCCCCCACTACCACTTTTCTAGGATGTTCGCGTACCACCTGCCAGGTGCCAATGTACCACAGGTGGTACTCGTACCACTGGTTGAAAAGCCCTGCTCTAGTTAACCCAATGTAGAAGGCAGAAAAATTCCTGCCTTGTTTGATTATGTCTGTCCCCACAAATATCTGACTGGACAGTAATTGACAGAAATTGGGTCTGAGTCTTCAGGCTTCCTCGTTTCTCCACGTTCCCCTTCTCCATTCAGTCTGAGGTGATTTAAGTCATATTTGCAGTTAGCTTGTTGATATACTTTTGCATGTATTTCACGTTTTATATGTCATGCATGGAAAAATTGGTGCAGAATTGTTCCCAGGTTTTAGTAATTTTCCATCATTTTTACCACTCTGAAACACAACAGTGATAAGTTTTAACAGTGTTTCTTGCTCCCTGTTTGCCTTAATTCTTCCCCTTTCTATCCACTTTTTTTCTCTAGAACAGCAGCTTCAATCAGGTCAAATAGAACAGCACTTTTTAACAAACATCAAGGCTAGCTTTCCAGCTGGCACTCAGAAAACCTGCTATAGTGTTTCACATCAATTTAAAAGCAACTAATGAGATGAATTCTAATTCAGAAACAAAGCGAGGCTTGGCACAGCCTAGGAAGTTAATAGAAATCAAGAAAACTGCTTTGGCAGCTCCACGCTTGGGAAAGAACCGGGTTACAAATAAAACCAACAATATTGCTGCATTGCTTAATCATGACTAGGCTTTTCCTGACAAGTTAAACTTTTACATCAATTACTGAGCAATGCCAGAAATGAAGTTTCCTAAACTCGTCCCAAAGATTTGTATCAATAACTTTCTGAAGATGGTACTCTCTGGATGTTTTAAACTACCACTTTCTTTAAGCCAAACTGTCATGGCCAATTGGATGTGCTTGGAGTGAATAATAGGAGATATAATTCTCCTCATTAGCATAGGCTGGCTTGTGGAAAGCTGGAGAAGAAAAACTAGACCTTGAGGCAGTAATGTCAAAATTTATTTCTTTTATCTGTCAGTATTTCTGAACTTCCCTAATCACCAAGGACTCTGAGTAATGGGCAAAATAGATTCAAATTAAAACAACAAACATTAGGAAAACTTGAAGCTATCTTGGCATCCCCCATTCAGCTTAAGCTAAAGAAGACTTACCATTTGCTTTGGAACAGCAAAGAATGTAGGGGCTACATGAATTTATGGAGGGAGGGAATATAAAAGCTTGCAATACACAAAATGAGGGCTACTATCGAGATGGCCTCGTATCTTGTTCATGTCTAATGCATCTTGTAGGGACTTTTAGCAGATCTTCTTTACATGACTGTTCCACATGGACAAATCCTATTCTACAACGTGCCATTTAGGTTTTAAAGGGATAACCTGCATTGTTAATTGAGCCTGGGAGCCTACCCATAACCAGTGTGTCAATTTCATTGAGGTGTTACTCTAGATTTTTGGGATTCTCCCATCAGCATTCTTGCACTGTGGTTTGTAACAGCTGCACTTCTGGGTCATTTCCAAAGGCAGCCCCTCATAGAGTGTATTAATTAGAGTGTATTAAGAGTATTCCAACTGAGTAGCAATCAAAGTGTGAGTTACCCTCACCAGGGCATCCTGATCTAAGTAGGATTGTTAAATGGTGCATAAATTGGGTGAAAGCTCCCCTAGCCACTGCTTCCACCTGCTGCTTAATCAGAAAGCAGTAATCAAGTTGGCTTCCCAAGCCAGACCACCTCCTTCACAAGCATGATCCCCACCAGAGCAATCCTGAGCTCAATCTGAGCTCTAATGTTTATTGGCAAACAGCTTTGGTCCAGTCATACGGTAGATAATTAAACTAGCTTCTTTGTGCATAGAACAGTCTGTACATTTCCTAAGGATTGCAATGTAATTTGAAGGCCCAGGCCTACTGGATAAACAAACCTAGGATATGCAACCAAAATGAATGGACAAGAGTGTATCCAACAAGAAGAAAATGTAATTTCTTACAGGAAATCGGAACTCATGGGCTAGGGAAGCAATATCTGATGTAAATATCAAATCAAATGTTGCTTCCCTAGCCCATGTGCCTAAGATTCAACCAGTAATAGCTGATACTTCTTCACTTCTAAATAAGTGAAGAAATATCAGCTGTTACTGGCTGAATCTTAAACTAAGGCAGGAAATTAGACCAAAGCTGAAACAGTGACCAAACCCAGTATTGTGATGTAAGATGGTACTCAGCTTCTAATTTATTATTAGTATGACATAGCTGTGAGCATGCAGACATTTAGAACTGTAGATATATGGTGGAAAGTTATCGGTACCATGTGAATAGAAACTTTAAAAGATAGAGAAGTGATTAAGATTTCCAGGGGTTGAAGATTGGGTAGTGCTAGTTACCTCTCTGATAAGCAGAAGCAGTATTACACAAAGTAGTACACGTTTCAGAATAAATTAAGGAAGAGATATTATGCAAAGGCTTTAATTTGTCAGATGCATGCAGGTTGCAGATTCTGAACTGTTTGATATAATTTTCTGTTCAGAATCAAATCTATTGTTATTCGCTCTGAAAAAAGAGGTGGACACATCCTTAATTAAGATCAATTCACCACCAGCAGTAGGTTCCAAGTCAAGAACCTCTTTCATTTTTAGGAGACTAAGCACGAGAGGTGAAATCATTCAAATATGAAGAAAATAGTTTCTACATAATGCAGATCATTGAGAAACAAATACTAAGCAGTTCTCCAAGATCCCAGAGAGGTTAATTCTAGTCCTGATTTTTGCCACCTTTTAACTTGAGACATTCAAGCTGAATCTTATGTAATCTACAGTTGGACTTGAATCTTATTCCTTTTTTTTTCATATACTCAAACATTTTCTGATTATTATTTTTTTATCTAAACCTCATACTAATGTCCGGAATGCAGAGCATTCCAGCAATGTACCATCGTCTCCCTAAAGGCATTTCACCAGATGAGAACATCTCTAAAGAGAACAACAGCAAAGATGCTCCTTTACAATTAATTTTGTCTGAAGATAACAATTTCATTTCTTGCAGGGTACAGAAGCCAGACTAATTGCGCACTGATGTATTCTCCCCTCTCTCTTGCAGAGCAATACAACTTACCATATCTACAGTGATTTGTCCAATGACAGTACTGCCATGTTGTTGTCTGAAGCTTTTAAGTCTTGCTTGTTCTTTGGGTATCATATTCGCAAGAACATCTTTCAGGTTCTGAAAATCAAATAATGTCTAATGTTATACGCAACAAATCAACTATTGTCAATGGTAGAAAACCAACCTAGAAAAGTGGTACATGAGAGAGAAAAAAAGTAAATATATGAAATAAAATATTGTTCATAATTGTTTAATAACTATTTTACAGTAATCCTGGGCGCAATCTACATGAAGAAAAGTTTTGTCCTAATACCATGACATCTGGTTCACTCGGTAGATTCCACAGCCCCTTTTTGTTATTTCTATACTTTTTTCCCCTTCAGGTCACATTTTCAAATTTTTCACATTTACCATTTTGTTGTGTTAGCGAATTGCCTATGCTTTAATCTAGTGGTTTCATAACTTGCTGATGAAAATGACTTCAAAAATCTTGATTTAATTTTTTAAAGATTTAGTAATTTTGTACCATTTTTGCTCATCATCTTATTTTACCTGAGCACAAAAGAATGAGATGAGATTGGAGACTATTTTCTCTTCACACAGTTATAAGTAATCTGAACCTGTTTTTCCCATTAGTTTTCTTGCATACAAATTAAAAAGGCATGGACTATCAATGGTATCATATGTTAAAACCATTGGTATAGCACAGTGGTAAGCAACCTTGGCTCTTTTATGACTCATGGACTTCAACTCCCAGAATTCCTGAGTCAGCCATGCTGACTCAGGAATTCTGGGAGTTGGAGTCCACGAATTATAAAAGAGCCAAGGTTGCCTACCCCTGGTATAGCATTTCAATGGAAATACAAAACTTTAAACAAAACAGCATTTTTGCCTAGCTATGGGAGTGCTTCTGAAATCTTCCGAACTTAAAAATCAACATGAAAAACTATCACTTCTTCTTTCTCCAGTAACTACAACACTGTATTTATGGTTCTACTATGAATTCTCATCATAAGCATAAATGGTCAAACAACTGCAAATTACTCCTCTATCTCCTGAAATGTATTGACAATGGGAAGGAGCTACTGAATTTGAAAAGAATATATACTGACACCAAGCACACCAATAATGCAGTCACCAACCTAGACTGGTCTTCGGTATAATCAAGACTCAAATTGTCAACCAACAGATTTTGTACATCTTACAAGAAATGAAAAAAAAACAACTTACTGTAGAAGCACTTGCATGTCTTGCAGCAAAAATGATACATGATGAATTCTGTAAAGAGAAAGAAGTAGCATTTTAAACATTAGCTCTACACTAATAATCCTCCATGCTCTATAATGCACTTTTATCACACTTTTGTCCCACTTAACTCCATCACAGTCCCCTCCTTGACAAATATTTGAAAATACTGGATTTCTGAACCATCATAATCAAGGAACTCTCAGCAGCATACAACAATAATATTGAAATATATAAGCATCGCGATATAATACAGACACAAACAATGAAAACCAGTATGTTTACTTGCTACATGAAGAAATGTATAGCACTGACTTTAAGAATTTAATATGGGCCAGTGGCAACCACACTCAAGCACTCAAATTCAGTTCAGTTTGGAACCTCTTGAGTATCTTTCATGGCTGAGCAATGATTTAAATTCTTACCACTCAAGTCTTCTTCTTTTTTATTATACCTTATTAGCATGCCCATTAGTTA